GTGTGTGTGTGTGTGTATGTATGTGTGTATATACACACACACACAGTATAAGTTTTGTCTGGTGAAAAAAATTTCCCTGGAACCTAACCCCCACCCTATTTACATTAATTCTTATGGGGAAATTGGATTCATTCAACATCAGTTCACTTAAAGTTGCATTTTTCAGGAACATAACTACGACGTTAAGTGAGGAGATACTGTACCACATAATCTTATACGAGTGCTGTGGAGCTAAATACATTAATATTTGTGAAGTACTGAGACACTATGGTGAGAGCAACATTATGGCCCAAAGCACTTCCATATTCACATCCTTAATCTTTGTTCAAAATATGCCCTGTTAGGTATCATTTGAAAACTAATAATTCACTGGTCAATAATATCATGGTGAAATACATGTAGCAACATGATATGTAAAGTTGTGTATTCCCCCAGTATGATGATACTAGTACATGCTCAAAACAGACAGCCTTGCCTCAGCAAGAGTTGTTAAACAGGTCTATCCGAAACAAATGAATGTGTGTTTACCTCAGTTTACAGATAAGTGGTAAATAGAACCATCAAAACATCAGGAAGAGGAGATGGCAGGAACCAGAACAATTTGCATTTTAACAAACAAAAGTGGGGGAAGATGGAGCATAGAGCTTTCCATGTTGCCTTCCTCACAACTTGAATGAACTTTACTTTGAGGGGGTACCCTTCAGAAGAATTCATTTCAAAGATTAAATCTACTATAAAAGGAAAGGGGCAGTGATCCCCAAATTATCTCTTTCACTAAGAAGACAAAATAACCAGTGCCTGAGGGCCTCTGGAAGAGATCCTAACTGAAATGAGAGGTCCGCCACATCTTGCTGGTAGATTGTGGGTTGAGAACAGTCCTCTTGAACAAAGCCTTGAACCAAACCTTGATAGATTAAGTTTCAGACTTTTAGATGTGTGCTTTTATTTTTACTTACTTGTAACCATTTCTAACTTTATCTCTTATACATGAACTCACTTAAAATAATATCTTCTTTTGTTAATTAACTTGTCTTACTGTTAATCTAAACTAGCAGTGGTGGGTTTTGTCTCCTTAAAGGAGCTAATGGATCATCTTCTTCTGAATGTTGCAGGAGAGGGCTGGACGTATCAAAGCACGTGGGTCAGGGGAAGTTTAGGAATGGGAGTATGTTGGGGTCACCTGCTAACATTAGCCAAGGCTGGTAAAGACAAAAGTGTGTCTGTGATAACTGCTGGCAGGCTGTTGGACTCAAAGTGATGGAATCAGAGCTGTACAGCATGCAGAACACATGTACATGCTGGCCGCTGACTCTGTGTGTGTCCCAGGAAGGGAGCCACAAGTAGCAGAAGCATTTTGGGGCACTCAGGATTATAATGCAAGCGGTGACACAACCTCTCACTGGTCGGGCTTCACGTTGAATGAGGTGCAGTACTGGAGTATGTCACCTCATGGCACTGCAGGCTCACTACTCCGTTTACCTCTGGGTTTTTCCAAATATCTAGCCCACAGTCAGGGGGTTTTACATATGCAACTTTAATACTGGCATTTTCTAACTTTTGAGTGCTTGATTTTGCAACCTTTATGTTCTTCTAACATTGGGTTTTTGTTTATGTAATATAATATTGGAATAATTAAAACTGCATGCATGCTAAAAACTGTAATCACAGTAAATAAAGCTGACCATGTATGTAGATCTTTACAGGATTGGCACCTATATATGTAACTTAGGTGGCAGAAAACACCTCTTCCAGATTTTCTTTCACCTAAGAGTAACTGCTACTTTAGGACTACATTAGCTGATTATATTGATATATTATTTGTTGTGACGCAGGACCAATATGGAAGGCAAAATAATGGCTGTGTATGTTGTATTATCCATATAGAGTCAAGATGGGAACCATGTGGGGTATGCTGTATTTGGGAAGGGGAAAGAGTTTTCCAAGCCAGATTTCGACACAGAGCCACATATTCTGTTAGAATAAAAAGGGGGAAAATTTTTACCAGAAGCTGTAAAGTGAAGCATTTTAAATAGAATATTCAGCTATCCTTAAACTTCTAAGCCTTGGCTTCACTAGGAAAAAATGCTATGTTCTTAACTCAAGTTAACTTGTAAAATTCTAGTGAAGACAAGACAGTAGTTTTCACTTTAGTTAGAAGGTCATAAGAATGGCCATACTGGGTCAGACCAAAGGTCCATCCAGCCCAGTATCTTGAACCAAAAACAGTATATACAGTATTGTCAGTAGGAGATGGCTTAATTCAAGAACCTTTCCTCTACTACAGGAATCCTGATTTCTGTTCTGTGGTTGAGGTAAAAAAGAAGAGGATGATTTTTACAGTACATGAATGCTAGGCAAGAGTTAGGACCCAGGTGCATAAATCCTGAAAGCACTTAGCTACAGTAACAGATTTTACTGAATACTTGTACCTTCTGATAGGCTACTCACATGAATAATGCATTTCTATTTGTAAGCTTTTATTGACTAAGAATTATCACATCATTTCAAACCATATGGCACAAGGTTGTCCCTATTTGGGGCTGTTAAATCCCAGAGACAGTTTTATATGTAGTTTGCTGTATGAAATAATCTCTAACTAGTGTATTTAAAGTTAATAAAAATGTGCATGCACACACATACGCACACCTGTGTTGTACAATGCTGTTGTTGAAAAAATATTTATTAAAACATGGAGCTCCCCAGTATCCTATGCGAACATCACTTTGCATAGTGTTTTGGAAAGATTCCACTTTTGGCTCTAGTCTCTTGCTCACTGGGCAGACACTGGAAATATCATGCAGTAGTCATCAGTAAGCATTGCAGATGATGTAAGGGTGAATAATGATGAGATTTGTGCGTGTGTGTGTATGGTACTGATATTAATTTATTAGAAATCAGTGTTATGCAAGAGGAAACATACAGAAAAAATTACTTTGGAGGGATGTAAGTGGATAATATTGGTTGGTCTCGTTTTGGTTTTATAGCATACGGGGGGGGGGGCGGGGGGAGGCAGTAAGGGCTCAATCTTGCAAGATTGGGACCTAAAGGTCTGCATAATTCCATTGTGCTTCATCTTTTGGTCATCTGTAAGTCAGACTTGAGTAACTGTTAGGGTAGTATGGGTAATGAATAAAGGTTCAGTTTTGGTCAATAATGTCTTCTGTGAATAATACAGTATTATAAGTAGAAATATTTTATATATGAATAGTATTAAAAGGTGTAGCTAACGATTTTAACCCTATAATTTTCCTCTTTGAAAATTATTATAGGAAAGATTTGGCTTTTGAAAATACTATTGTTTATTTTTCTCTGTTTTTCCCAGCCTTTTTAGTTTGACCAGAGAAGACAAAAACAAACAAGTATATTATTTTTCTAGGACATATGAAAACACTGGCTGAAATCCTAGCCCCACTGAAGCCCATGGGAGTTTTGCCATTGACTTTCAGTGTGGCGGGGCCACTGTTTCACCAAGAATGTCTTGTTCCTTCTTCTCTCTAAGGCAGCAGTTAGCTAACAACCATTATTCCCAGAGGTGTGCTTGACCTCACTGATGTTACTGATCCATCAACAAAGTGTTTTGGCATGGTAAGGTACTGAAGTTGTTAAATGAAAATAGCCACATTGATTTGCATTTCATTCAAAATTAAAGGCAAAAAGTCAGCATAAAAGGACATGAATTTGAATGAGATGCAAGAGGTGGAAAAAAACCCTACAGTAAAAATAACTTGGTAAATGTACTTTATAGTAATATATCAAAAGGAAGTACCCAAACAAAAATAAATCACGGTACAGTATATGTCTGGGTTTTAAGATTCAGCTACTTCATCTATAGGTTGAGAAAATATTTTCTATAAGTTGTTGCTGGCATCCTGGATATGTTCTTAATAAATGATTTACAGTATAAAAACTTGTGACTTTTACAAATATTTGCTATATAGCTGAGTTCTTAGCAAATAACTGAAACCGTTTTAATTTTTTGTTTCTAAAAAAATTAGTAAACAGCTACAACTTGCAAAGCACTTGGAATCTGGTTTTCAGAATTCTATTTTATTTATTTATTTTTTGACAGAAAGGAGATGGGTCAAACCACATTAGAGACTGATATTTCACAGACTGAAGCTGTCCTCTCCTGTCACTTTTTTGTGGATGGGCAGTGTCTGATGAATGGAAGATATTAATCTGTCAAAGATATGTTTATCTGATGCAGAGAATAAATCATTCCCTGCTGTCATGTTATAACCTAAAGGCATCTGGTATTTAGGGACTGTCATTTCCTAGTATGATGCTCCCATTCCATATTGGATAGGTCACACATGAGGGAATGAATCATTTTTAGGTGATGTATTTATTTTCTATGGAAATTACATTAGGAAGTTGCTTGCTTCTTTTTCTCCCATTATTATTTATTTCTGTAGGTCCTGTTGACTCTACTGCAATCTAACACACATTAGTACTGTTCTTCATATTCTCTCAGTTCTTTGCCGTTTCCTTAACTTTTACATAATACGTGGTGTCACGTCATGCAGTGGAAACCTAAAGAAGTTGCTTGTAAAGACTTGGAATTTTTCAGTTAGTGTTCTTTTTCACATCCTGTCATGAACGGGGGTATGGTGTTGCTGCGCACAGTTAACGAGCTGTCATATTTCAACCGCTGCATTTCCTTGGTGGTTGAACTAATTCTTACAAATGTGAAGTGTGCTTGGCGCTCTGTAATTGTGAAGTATTGCTCAGTCATTTTATTTAATGGCTTGTCCACTCCCATGGTTGAACAAATAAAAAAACCTGCAGACGTGCACAGATAATATACATCCATCTCGTGCATATAAAAAGGACACATGCAAATCGCATCCCATTCTTGTAGAAATGCATACAAACAGCTCAAAATCAGTGTTCTTTTCACATTTGTTCTTATTCATACAATTTGTATTTTAAAACGTTTAAATAAAAAAAGTACTGAATATATTAACACCCCTTTTTGTTCTGTTTCTGTCTCGCTCCAGGTGGAGGAGGGCTGGTGGGAAGGAATTCTCAATGGAAAGACTGGCATGTTTCCTTCCAACTTCATAAAGGAACTTTCTGTTGATTCTGATGATGTGGAAATTGCACAGGAGGAACAACTAGTAAAGCCAAGTAAGGAACAAAGTATTATCAAGTCAGTCTATTTTTCCTCTTCTTGTTTATTGACTTGCTGATATGCTGGGATCGTCTTACCTCTTGCTTGGAAGAGTTTCAGAATGCCTTGTTCTAAAGCTGGTGCCAGGAAAAGGTTGATTGGCTGTTGATGCTATATGGGTATTAGCACCTTCCCCTTAATTATAGCACTTTGCATTAAAGACCAGTCCAGCTACAACTGTGAAGGGCCAAGGAAATGATGCCATTTCATGACTTTAGGGCTTCTGTTTCATAATGAAAATACACTACCATTTTGTCCTTACATGCAGTAGCTGAACAAAATTACCAAAACGCTTATACAATGGTTATACTTAGTTATTTTAGCAGGGGACTAGGAGTGCCAGGCCTTATTCAATGAGTCCTCCTGGGTATTTAAGGATCCATAATTATTGGTGTGGGACAAGCGGCACTTTCTCCCTCCAGGTGCTGAGCATGCTACTTCCACATCCATCATTCCCAATCCCTGCTAGCCAAAGGAGCAAAAGGCCAGAACTAGGACTCAGATTTGGTTCTCCCACTGCGCCATCCGCTCACCTGGATTTTCAATACTGCTGGAGGTGAAAAGCATGTTTGGTAACTAAGTTTGCAGTAGTGTCAGCTTGGTAGTGGATTCTCCCAATTTGTAACTTTTTCCTTGATGTAAGGAGAAGAATAACCTGAATCATAAATTTGCTTCTGTATGAATCGGATACTCCTCTCTGTCTTGCTGCATTTCAGTTTCTTCAAGTAAAGATTCTTGGCACTATCTCCAAATTCTGTGGTCACTAGATCCTGTGTTTTAAAAATATTTCCACAGTATTTGCATATTTTAGCATAAGTGCACATTTACTTGATAAGTTGGTCCCTGCCAGGCCATTTGTTGTCTTTATTCTATATGACAGAAATAAGGTTGTTAAATAAAAGCCTACTGTAGTGTTTGGAAGAGGGTTTTTCTAATTTCTTATATGGACAGGTATTAGTGACCAACTCTATATGCGTGGGGTTGGTATGATCTTCATAGAGAATACTGCTTCAGTCTCAAATTAACCTGCTTTAAAAATATTCAGCAATTTAAAGAGAGGTGCAGGGAGGAAATTAATCTGCAGGAGTAATATTGAAGTTATATGTTCCAATATGTAGGCAGGCTACACTTTGAAATTACTACTTGCAATTATAATGTTTTTAATATAAATGCAATGAAGTTTCATAGAATTAATCCCAATTTGTCAATAACATTTCACAAGTTAATTCATAGAGGCTTCAATTTGGAATCTGTATTTTATCTCCTAGATTCTACACTGATGGGTACTTTATAAAAATGTTTATAGGTAGGTAGATTTCCAGGATGGGCCCCCCTTTTCCTGTACGAGAGGGAAAATGTTCCTTTTCTTTGCTAATGTTTCATTTTTAGCCTTAAGTGCTCACTTGTTATGATGATAAGTGTCCCAGAAAAGGCTTTAAACAGATTTGACAAAGGCAAGTAAGTGTAAAATATTTATATCCTTTCATAATGACATAGGTAACCAATTTAGTTAAGTAATCAGATTGCTCCCTTGGGCCTCTTTGCTTGATAAAACCCTACCAATTATAAAATTCATGTTAAAGGGACATCATCAACATAAAAATTACATCTGTCTAAAATCACTTGTACCTTCTCTCCTAAGTAATACCTAAGATTACTTTATCTGAAAGAGAGTGAGAGAATGTTGGTTTTTTTCATTTTGTGTAAATTGAATATTTGAATGTGCTTAATCACTAGCCAGTTTCACAGTTGTTTATGTGGGTGTTTCAGGCAGCAGCAAAATAGTTCTAAAATGGAAAAAATATTACGAAGCCACAAATAAAGGCAAGGGGACTTAGGGCTCAGCTGTAGTCTCTGTAATTATTTTTTAAAAATTGACAATTTCCAAGTTAACATTATCCCTTTAGGGGCCTGATCCTGTAACAATGGGAGTTTTGTTATCCATTTTAATGAGTTTAGGATTGGGACCGTATGGAATTCATGCATACACATTCCTCCAAGGGAGCTAAGAACTGACTGAGTTCTTTCTGGATTGTCTCTTGTAAAGGTTACAGCTGTTACCTCATAAATGAATGGCCATTTATAAGGCTACATCAGGTACCTCAATATGTATATTAAAAATCTATACATTAGATAGGCATTAGGCACACACATCAGTGGGAAATGCCACTTAAAATATCCATATTTACTATTTTTTCAGAAGGAAGAGTTGTAGATCAAGCAAATATAAATACATCAAGAGACAGTATGTTACTTAATTTAGGGATCTAATTTCAGGCCTCCAACTCAGTTCCTCGCTTGGAGGAAGACGAGGGATGTTAGTGCTGCAGTTTCTTGAGGGATGGTAGGATCATGTAGTGTAGGACTATAACATCTCTCGGCTTTGTAGCAGCTTTACTACACTGCACCATAGAGTGGACTACGGGTGTGAATTGCAGAGTGCACCAAAATGTTGCCATCTAACTGCCCTATGTGGACACTACTGGCACAAACTAAAATGTATCTAGTTTGCATGAATGCAGTTCTATTTGAAAGAGGACTGTGTTAATGCTAACTAAGTACTTTATAGTCCAGCAGCATCCACGCAGGACAGTTATATTGCAACACTATGGTGTGCTCTGCCATTCAGACCACTGTAGTGCCCACTGTGGTGCAGTGCAGACATGGCCTAGGAGTAGCACTGGTTGAGGTGGACTATATCTAGGGATTATAACACAGGACTCAGAGTCAGATCTTAGATGTTTACTCTGGATGACAAACTTGTATCCCAATCGTGCAATCAAGTCTGTGTGGCCTGAGCATCCATGCCGAGTCCCGTGGAGATCAATGGGGATCTGCCCAGACTCAGATCTGCCCATGAAGATCCAATTGCAGAATGGAAGTTATAATGTAATCTGGGGCAGTGACTTAACTCTGCTTCCCCACCTGAAAAATGGGTATAATAATACTTGTCCACTTTTTTAGGTCTTTTATGCAGTTTGGTTAATCAAGGTTTGTAAAGCAGTTGGGGATCTTCAGGTGAAATGGACTGTAGAAATGCAAAACATTATCATTATTTGGTTTTTAATAAGTCTTATTTACTATCTCTGGAGAGAGCATTGTCCAGTGCCATAGGTCAGATAGACAGGGGCTGTGCTCAAGGCTCTCAGAGTGGAGAAAGTGCAGGTGGGTATGTCCTTGGTGCTCCAAGATTGGTTCTGATGAAATACCATCCCCTCTCCTCTATGTAAGAAAATAAAATATAAATTATGGGAATTTGGGGGTGTCTCTCTTTATTTATGCTGTGTCTCTTTTTTAGGACAAGCAAATGTTTTGTAGTAGTTTAGATAAGTGACTTGGATTGAGGAATCCAGAGTCCTTTTCTCACCACTGCCACAACTGAATGACCTTGAAAAAGTTACTTAGACCAAATGTTTTAAAAGTGGCATCTGTTCTTGGATACTCTATTTGGAATTCAGTTGGGCCCAGTTTTTCAGAGGGGCTGAGAAACTGTAATTTCCAATGAGTTCTGGGTGCCTTGGCATTTTGGAAAGTAAGGGCTTCGTAAGATCAGAGATAATTTAAAAAATGTATGGCCGATCTGTAAAATGACTGTAATATGCCCTGTCCTCGAAGACGCATGGCATACTTCATTAAGGCTTGATTTTCATACCTGTGCTCACATTGAGTAACTCCTTATTTTTCCAGGAGTCCTATTGATTTCAAAGTGTTGTTCTCTGTTGGTAGTAGATAACATCCACAAGTTGTGTGTGCTAGATTTCTCAGCTGTCTTTACATTTGTTTATTTGGTTTTAGGATATTCTGAAATACCACAGCTTCTCGTTACAGCTTAACAAAAGATCAGGAAAATTGTCGTGTGTAATGAAACTGAGTATTATAACCTTGTGAATGAAAGTCTTATCTTAAGGGGTTTCAGAGTAACAGCTGTGTTAGTCTGTATTTGCAAAAAGAAAAGGAGTACTTGTGGCACCTTAGAGACTAACCAATTTATCTGAGCTCACGAAAGCTTATGCTCAAATAAATTGGTTAGTCTCTAAGGTGCCACAAGTACTCCTTTATCTTAAGGGGGTGATTTCACAGTCCTTTTAATATGCCTGAGGCAATATCACAGCATTTAAAGACTGCTGGATATATCTTGCTATCTCTTTTGCTTGTGTGTAAGTTAAGCTATGACTAGGTCTAATTTAATATATTGGATATTTATAAAACATATTAGCCATGATCTCTAAGAAATCATGAGCGCCAGTACTAAGATTGATGTTAGACTCTGGAGCTAATGATTTAGTTAGGCAATGTAATACATCTTAACTTCTTTACATTTCAGCTGTCTCTTCACTGTCACGCAGCCAAACATTTCCTTCTCTGCTTTCTTAACAGCTGAATGAATGAGTGCTTTCACTTAAAGGTGATCTGCAAAGGAGAGGGGGAGGGCTTTGTGCTTTTTTTTGTTGTTGCTTGCTTATGTAGACAGATGGTGTTGGATGTTTTCATTTGTATACTTTATTCTGCCTGTTTATTACAGTATATATACAGTTCTAACTGTTTTTTCCCCTAGAAGATGTTTTGGATGACTGGAGAACTGGTAGGACTATGACAGAATAATATGTAATGAAATCTGTATTAGCTAATGTGTTAGCTGTCTCACTGTAAACAGCAAACAAACAAAACCCACAATCTTTTTTTTGGCAGTAAAGGCATAGCCTTAATCAACTGAAATGGGAAGCAGTCTTTGTTCAGACTGTTTAAAGCTCTTTATGTTTTGTTTGTTTTTTGGATAACACTTATTTAGCTGAATAAACCACTGGGTTAAACAAATGTCTTTAAGAGTCAACATGTCATCCCTTCAGTTAAGAACTGTTAAAAGTTCATAATCCATATCTGAAACCTTCAATGAGTCCCTCAGCAAAACGTTGTTTTTGGTATTTCTAATGTCCTGTCTACATTAAGTGAATGCTGGTATTCAGTGACCTGCCAGTGAAGTGTGTCTCTATATCAGGGGCATGAAGTGATATTAATAGAAATTTCCCTACTATGGACAGGGCCTAGGGCAAAAAACAAACAAGAAAAAAGTGTTTGAAAAGTCTTTTCAGGCTGTCTTTAAATCTCAGACAGAGACAAAAAAGAGGAGACACATATTTTCTGTTCATTCACACTTGTAAAATAAAACTTTATGGGCCAAATTTTCTCTCATTTGGCCATTAGAGATTATGGGAAACAATACATTATACAACTCAACCAAGGTGGCTTTAGCAAAATCAAGAGAGATTTCCCTATCTGACATACATGCAGTGAGAATATTTGTAACTTCATGTACAGTCAGATATTGCAGCTAATGGTCTCATTGTTTTGCTAATAGAACTCTTAAAATGTTAGTAATTGAAAGTACAGATTAAAAACTCTTCTTCTACCTTCTTTTTTACCATCATTCGATCTCTCCTTCCCCTCTTCTGTTTCCTCTTTCCTTCTTTTCTTTCATTTCCTGTCAGGAAAGTCTGCCTTTCATGGGACAGTTCTGTACAGAGTGGCACAAGCAAAGATTGACAGCTACAGACGCTATAACAGTGAGTGTAATTAAAATTCAAAAGGCAGTTTTAAAGATGACATCTTACTCCTCAATATATGTTTGATTCATCTACACTTGTAAAGTGTGTCACCATTACTCACTTATGGCTGCACTACCTGTAGATGTGTCTGTGAGCTAACTCTTATTTGCTGCTGACAGATGCCATAATCGTAGCGTATTGAGAAAGTATTCTCATTTTCTCTGTGCATGTGTGTGTGTTTATATATATCTATACAATGTATGTGAGCACGCAACAAGCTGTCAGTTGTGTTGGCTTTCGGTCATAGGTGTGGAGTGGGGTGAAAAGTCTTTGGTCTGATGATTTCAGCCATGTGAGACTTGTAGGTTTCTGGAGCGTAACCATACCCTCTGAAGTGTGTTGTTGCTTTTACATTGTTGCATGCAACGATTGTTGAACATATCAAATATATTTTTCTTTCAAGAAAAAAGTGTAAAGGAATTTTAAAGAGAAAACCCTGCGTTCTTTAAAAATTACATTTGTGCACCCATCTTCTCTTGTCCTGTCCATGACTGCAATTACTGACAGCATTATGGCTCTATGTAATGTACCATTCACAGGAAGAAGGTAAAAGATCTGTCAGTCTAGGCCAGTTTCTAAGCACCAGTCTGCTCGTTTCATGATCAGGCTTTTTGCTCCTCTATCCTGGAAGCATGGTGTGCATGATTCATTCCACATGCTTTCCTGATCTTCCTCCTTTCTTTTTCTTCTCCTACTGCAACCCTAGCTCTCAGAATAAGGCAGAAAATATGAAGATGAAAGTCAAAGACAAAGATGGGCAGAGAAGAGAGGAGGAAAGGAAAACGGAAATCCTCTGCTCCTCACAAACTGCTCTCTCATGCAGAACTCTAGCAGCCAGAGATCAAGCATCACCACGACAACCCCCTCGGCTTGTCCACTCTCACTCTCTGACTCTAGGGAAACAAGTGGTCAGTACTTCTGCCCTGCACAGGGAGTGAGGTCTCATGTTTATCTTGGCATGTGCTTCCCTCCAATGCAGCTGTCTGGTCAGGACAGCCTAGCGGTGACAACAATGCTCCCTGGTCTTCATCCTTCCCCACCCTTACTCTGCCCCTCCACTTAGCTATGGGTTGCTGCTCTCCTGCCTCCCAGAGACTTTGGACCAGGTACATCCTCTATCAGTGGACACTCCCTCTTACACTCTGAGTCTGCCAGGGCAGTAGTCCCCTGCTCTGCTGCCTCTCATCCACCACAGTTTGTTTTTTAGTGACTGGAGCTTTTACCATTCTCCCTTCTTCCTGGTTCAGTGCAGCTGCTGGTGCTCAGCTCCCAAAAGAGGGTGCTGTCTCCTCAGCCGCAGCTTCATAGGCTGTCTGTTTGCAGGCATTCATTTCTTTTTGTGGCTCATCTTTCCCATTCATGTTTCAAACATGCTCTCAGCCCAGCTGGAACAATCCACTTGGTCTGTGGTTTCTCTGCCTTCTTCCCTGGTGGTCCTTCTCTGGAACTTAGTTGTGAGGCCCTCTGTATTCTTTCAGATTCTTCCCACGCAACTTCCTATCTCTGTGATACTGCTTTTGACAATGCTAGACTTACAGGCAGATCCATGGTCTCTGTGGCTATCCGTGTGTGGATTTGAAGCTAGAAAGCTGAGAAGAGGTTCCTACAGATAAGCCTCTTTGGGCAGATTTGAGACAAGGCAAGAATCTGGTCTCCCATGTGCTTTCAGAGATGCCCTCTCGTGATCCAGTGCCCAAAGGGGGTATTTTATCACTCTTCGTCCTATTTCTCTAAGCAGCTCATCTTGCAGACAAGACTCCTTCTCTATACTGACTTTTACTGTCTCTCTTCCAGGGCAGCCCTACTGAGGCTGTGCTAAACCTGCCTCCTCTCATATCCTACCCAATGGTTTTTGGTTTTAGACAAAGTGTTCTTTTGATTCTTCAGGTGCACTTTCCTCCATTTTGGACACCTCCACAAAGACATTTTCATTTAAGAAAGCCTAATTAATTGTAGTCATGATAGCCCACGGAATGAAGGATTTGAGTTTTATTATTTCTTCTCTCCTGTTCCTGAAATCTTACTTGAAAATAGGACAGTTCTTTGACTTCTCCATGAGTTAATTTCAAAAGTAAATTCACATGTATATATTAAGGAACTCACTGTTCTTCCTAAAGCGTGTCTTGATTGTCCACTTTCACAGCAGAGGAAACTTCATTCCCAGGCCTTCAAACAAGCTCAGAAGTTTTTACCTCTCCATTGTATTTAAGGATTTTATGAAAATCAAGAGGAGTTCATTTTGTTTTGAAAGTCATAATAAAAGGACATTAATATAGTGGATTAAAAATTGTTTTCTGTTAGCCTATGACCATGCTAAATGACCATGTCCTAAAATTGTTAAATTCCATTCAGTTAGGGTACAGCAGCTCTTTCTGAGCACCAAGGACTGAGACACTGCCGCTGAAATTTGTAAGATCATCTCCTTGCATTTACGTTCAGCATTATCCTTGGACCTCTCCTCATCTGCTGACATCACTTTTTGGCCATTAGGTATGGCAGGCTCCACTATACAGTAAGCCAAAATGTAGTATGCTGGGGAAATTGCTTCTGGGTAGGGTGGTTTGAAGAGGGATATACGACAAAGGAAAATTACTCACCAGTAATTTTGTTTATCGCAGTCCTCTCTTCTCCCATCCTACACTCCTCCCATGCCTCCTCAAAGAATTCTACTTGGAATTGTTTTATTTTGTCTTAATTTCTCCCTCTCTCTCTTTTCCTTTCTTTTCATCTGGAAGTGCCGTAACTGAAGGAAGTAGGCAGATTGGCGCGTATTTAATGCCTTGATTGACAGATATTTTGCCTTGATAGGTGGAGCCATAATGCTGTCAGTAATAGCTGCTGTTTAGTGTTATGGAAGAAGACAGGATTGCTACAAACAGAATTACCAGTGAGTAGTTTTTTCTTTTGTGCTTTCTACTCTTCCACCAGTTTAGACCTTTTTTTTTTTTTCCTTTTAAAAATATTTTCTAGTCCTTGAGTAACTGTTGCTGGTCAGAGTTCAAAGAAAGCAATACATGATTCATTACCTATTTATAATATGAATACTGTTGAAATATCTCATCATATGAACAAAGTTAATTCACACAGTTTTTAAAACATCATGAATTTTACAAATTTAAGGAGAGGTTTAAACTTTTCCATTTCTCTCCAATGTCTCTTAACTTGCTTACAGTATTTGCTTTCTAAAGAGAAAATATAACTAATATACAGATGCTACAGTGTAAAGTAACATTTGAGGAAACAACAGTGCGAACATTTCATGAGGCACAATTTTCCTGAATAAGAATTAGCATACTGAGAAATGTTGCCTGGAAAACAAATGTGCAGATGGAGAAAGGGAAAAAAAACAGTGGTGGAGAGGGAGAAATGCATCAGATCCTTCCAAAGATTCAAGAACCCACCCGCAAAAAATGTTTTATCAGGCTTATAATAGACAATTTTCCTCTGGCTGTCAGGAAGAAATACTGTTTGATTGTGATTGTTACAAGTCCCTTCATGTAGTGTAAGCAATGTGTTTCTGCAGCCACTCAGAACAAGGGGGATAAATATAATTCAGAAATCAAGAAGGCAGCAGACAGAAGCACTGTATAACCAGTCTAAAATTAAATTGTGAGAATACTCTGTGACCGTTTATGGGGAATGGAAAAAAGGCACCAACTTCAATGTTGATGGCTCAGAATTCATGTTAAAGACAATTCAAAGAGAGTTGTGCTCACACTGCACGTCTAATGCATGCTGCTCTATGGTGCAGGAAACCACTCCCCTTTACCCGGCATGATTTCTTGCTAAGGAATAAACAATTTGGGGCTGCTTGTCACATAGCAAGAATCATTGTGCTAAGGAAAATGAACATGCTGAAAGGAAATGACACTGTTTGGATTACAGAATTACATCTCCTGAAAGAATATATCTGATGATCAAATAAATAAATAAATAAATAAATAAATAGAGTAATGCAGAGGATAGTCTAAATTTGCAATTTGTATGCACTATATACTGCAGCAGAAGCATTTTTAATTACTGTTTTACCCTGATTATAAAGCATGTTTGTTTTTCAAAATGTGCATTCATAATCATAACATTGTTCTGAACCAATATTTTAAAGCAGTTTTACGTAAACTGCTTTTCCTTTGTCTTTAATACTACTTTGAGGTAGTGTGAACCTAGCATCAGGGAACACAGGATATTCACAGAAAACAAGGCCAGAGACGAGTGCTGGGTGCGCAGAAAACCAAAACAAATCATGGTGGGCTGTGTGCGTGTGTGTATGCACGCGCGCCTGCTCTCTCCTGCTTGCCACTGGGAAGGAAGGACCCTTCCTGCTTCGCTTCTTGACAAGATAATCATCAGGCTGTCACCATGGAACCACCCATCCCATGAAAATTCACCAGCCAAGACTTCCACAATCCCATGCTGCCAATCTCTACTAGAGGGGAAGAGTATACTTCTCCTCTCTCTTCCTTTCTTCCTTAAAATCAGTGGGGGAGAGAAACAAACTCCATTTACACAGTTCTCCCTTTATCCCATTAAACACAGCTGACAGCATTTCTCTCTGGATGCCAGACCAAATTAGGAAAATCTCTTAGCTGTCTCAGGTGTTTGCCTCTGAACAGCTGACCTTTGTATCACTTGGTCTGGTAAAGCTTAGAGGGCATCAGGGAGGCAAGGCGGAAACATTGGCTACTGGCTATTCTGCCAATTACGTTTGGGGATTTTGCCAATACCATGAAATAAAGAGTAGCAGTACAGAACAAAGAATAAAAATGAAATTGCTAAACAATACGTTAAAAGAGAATTTTCTTTGAAGCTTGAAAATGTTTTTTCTTTTTCTTTTTGGCCTTTTCACTTATTTACATTTAGAAACAATTATTTTTCCTGTGTTTTGAATAGAGTTAAAACAAAAATAAACAGCTGTGATAAAATTAACATTTTGAGCTTATCAAGTCTGAATATATCTT